GAGTGGCGTAAACAGAGAGGTGGCCAACCCTTGACTTGGCAGAGGAGTATGAAGGAGATCACGAAACGCTTGGGTGTTGTCGGTGCTACTCGCCTTCCAGGATGGGGACCGCGTGATCCTCACTGCGCCTGGTTAGAGACACTACAAGAGATGGCTGCCAACCGATGTCAGTGGCGTTTTTGTTGTCAGTTTCTATCCAGATTGCCTGAGTGAATGTCTGGAGGTATAGACACCTTGGAGTGATTATGGTAAGCTAGCACTAAGTCCCTCTCCCGTCCACCTTTATTCTTTTCTCTACAATAAGGCTTTCAAATAACTCACGTTTGTACGGCAGTGAAGCCTCGGTGTTGAACACTGATGTCACACTGTCGATGATGATGATGATAACCTCCACAGTGGAGACTGTATTTTAGATGAAGTGACATTTGGATTTTAAGAAAAGTAATTTACTCCCACCCATCTGAATGTCAAATTTTTGATTCCCGGCAACTGCTTGCTCAGGGTTGTAAATTTGCCTGAGTGGCCACCGGTCACGTGAACATACCATGGAAGACTCACTGGTAGTACGAACGATTTCCGAATGCATGGACTCGGGTTGTGTGAGTGAATCGCGGTTGCTAGAACCAGGCACCTTATTGATGGTGGTAAATACATAAGCGCTTGGTACAATTTTCAAAAAGCGGTGACAAGCATAATGCAAGTGATTTTAATGCTTACTAGCCACGCGAAATCAAAATCATGTAAATGTGATCGTACAGAACCGACCAGGTGTGTCAGAGGCTCGTCATCATGTGTTATTTATGAGTTCCAAGCTAAAATACAACAGCTGGTTAACTAACTATTCCAGGATGTTTCATTGACCGAAATATCGATCCTGCCTAGTCAATTCAAAACAACAGGAACCTATTGCAGTCACGTGGTAGTGCGTTGCTCAATCGATAAATCTGACACTGAGATTACGATGAACAGAAATCGGACTTTCCCAAGACCACAACCTGCGGCCAGTAAAGGATTTGGAGAAAAAAAACATTTCAAAAAGTGTTTTTCTTCTCCATGTGTCGAAATATAGGTAGCTCGGGTGTTTTTCACTGGTGGCTGATCAGATGGTCGTTAAGATGTTCGCCGAGCTGGGTAATTGGCTTGCAAACTTTTCGTCCCCAGTCGAGGAGATATCGCTAGTGCGCAGTTTAGTGAGCACCAAATTGATTTGTAAACGAGTGTGGTTGTCGAAGTCAGTCCAATTCGTGTTCAAGAGAACATGACCCTGAGGGAAACTCTGGGACTACGCCTACCTGATGAGCCCCAAGAAGAGCTGTCAAAGAGTCTTCAGCAACCTCGTGAGTAGTTTCTTTCATGAAAAAGATTATAATTGCTTTGATGTATAGTTTTTTGTGTACTATGATGGAACAGTCAAGGTTATCTCGTTAAGAGGGACTATAAACGGTTTTCACATTGTTGATGTGACATCGCCAAAACTTGAACCACGCCCACGGATGCCTGGTTTTGAACGCCTGCTGAGAAATACAGACTTATCTTTTGATAAATGGATTGGTTTCCTGAGACACAGTGGAGTGTTTCTCTTCAGAAAGTAATATATCAAATTGGAACTGATCTGAAGTAGAGGTAAACCAGTTGATAGGTAATGTTCTCCGTTGTGCATATATGTATGGCATTGCTCAGCTGTAGGACCCTTTCGATGCCTAACTGCCATGCGCCAGAAGGAAGCACGAGAGCTGGGATACTGTCAGGTTGCCCAACCAAGAGAGTCGAGAGGTTCGAACCACAGACCTTACGCTAAGTAAATTAGTGCTCCAACTACTGAGCCATCTCGCCCCTGCATATATACGTATATATACGATAGACCCTCACTAAAATTGGCGCCGAATATGAGTGACTCTCTCATAAGAGTCGATTATGTGATCAAGCGAGCGGACTTCCAAGCAAGGAACTCTGGACAAAAGGCTGGGTCCATGCGATACGTAGTTTACTTGGTATAGCAGTGGGAAAGGGTTTTTTACCTAGGCTAGCTGCTGCTAGTTCTGATATCCACTTTCTCAAATTTAATTTCGTGCATAGGTTCGAATTAAACCAAACGCTGAAGATGCCATTGACACTGAGAGATGAACCAGGTAAATCGGCCTCCATCCTGTAAAGCGCGATATCTTACATGCAGCTCAATAAAATTTCAAATGTCAGTTGAATACTAGTGTTAACTTTGTCTTCTTGGTACGAAGTATTTGTGGTGTCAGACAAGGATGTACACTCTCTCCATTCTTGTTCAATTTTGTAAATGATGAAATAATGAGGCGAACACTGGACGGTCTTCAAAACCCCGGTGTTCAAATTGTTCCTGGTGAGAGCCTTGTTGATCTGGAGTAAGTAGATGATATTGCCCTCATCCTTGAAGACCAAAGCGAAGCACAAGCTCTGTTGAATAAATTGACCACCATCATTCCATCTTTTGGCATGCGCCCCGCACCTTCAAAGTGCAAAGTCATGCTTCAGAACCAACATATTCCCTATAATTCAAGAAGAATCACTGGAGACTGTGGAAAACTTTACATACCTCGGTAGTTGTATTAGCTCTGACGGAAGTGTCTGATGGAGCCAGTGCAAGACTCTCAAAGGCTCGAATCACGTTTGCTAATTTGCGTCACTTGTGGCGTCAAAAAGGCATCTCACTGGATCTTAAAGGTCGTGTGTACCAGGCTACAGTAAGGGCTGTGTTGTTGTATGGGTGCGAGACATGGCCTCTTCGGGTAGATGATGTGAGGCTTCTTCAGGTTTTCGACCACCAATGCCTCAGAAGCGTGGCTGATTTTGGATGGCGTCAGCGTGTTAGTAACGAGATGATTAGAAAACTGGCATTTGGTTGTGCTGCAGGCACCTCAATCAGGGAAAATATCCAGTATCATCGAATACGTTGGCTCGGTCGTGTGCTACGCATGCCGAAACACCGTCTACCGAGACGAGTGTTGTCCTCCGTACCTCCTTCAGTATGGCGCAAACCGCCAGGTGGACAGCACATGATTTGGCAGAAAGGTGTGAAAGAGATCTCGAAGGGTTTTGGTGTTGTTGGTGTTGTGCGCCTTCCAGGATGAGGTCCCCGTGACCCCGTCTGTGCTTGGCTGGAGACGTTGCAAGAAATGGCGGCTATTTGATGTCAGTGGCGTTCTTGCTGTCAGTTTCTTTCCAGATTGTCTGACTGAGCGGTTGAAGGTGTAGGCACCTCAGTATGCTTGACATAGGCCAGCACTAGGTCCCCTCCCTCACCCACTCTTTTTCTCTTCTCTTCACTGTAGGGCTTTTAATACAATTATATATATATATATAACTAGACGAACCTTATGGTTGTACGGCAGTGAAGCATCAGTGCGAACACTGATGTTGCTGTCTTTGGTGATGATGATGATGACGATGAAATCAGTTTGTCCCGAAGATCCGAGGAGCACTGCACAACTGTTTCATTATGGTTCGGAGTGATAAACATTGAACACCTCAGGGAACTCTAGGGAGATTCACACCCACCATGTATCTACATCGCCTCTCAGTGTGAGTTCGCCAAACTGCTCATCAGTCCCAGGTTAACGAAGCTGCCTGGAGTTCCATGACCATGCTCGTCATGGATTGACTATCAATTCGCGTTTCCATGACATTTCCATGATCAATGGGCATTCGTACAGTTCTTGAATATAAAATAAGTTTTTCACTTCGTAATTTCATGATAAAGTACGAAAAACTGGTAACTGGACAGATGTCAGGAGCAAGTAAGTGATTTTTCAATGTGGATCAGCCCTAGATGATTGGTCAACTTCATGTGAAAAACACGTGTTTTGAAGCTAGAATTAGACGGTGTGTATGCTTGGAAGAATGGAGAAAACGAACCGGTTCTTTTTGCCAACGCTATGAAGGCTCGGAGGCTTGAGGTGGGGGTGCGACGATGGAATTTCCGAATTTGATAAGTCTATGCCTCGTAGAACACGAAACAGTACAGAAACAGACAGCAGAAAAAGAGTGAAAAAAGGCGAAAGACACGATGTACTTTTGCTTGTAGTTTGGAATTCACCTATGACATTGCCGGGCGAATAAGGTGGCTACTATTTGGCTGACCCTCAGTGCTGGCGTAGACAGTATGGGACGATCA